CTATATAGATATATCTATATCTATATAGATATATCTATATAGATATAGATATATCTATATAGATATAGATATATCTATATCGATCTATATCGATAGATCTATATATAGATATATATATCTATCGTGATAGGAGTTTATAGCGTTACTATTATTCTAATCATGACGTACACAGAAACGTTTCCTCTTCTCCCCACAGACGTTCTGGAGGAAGAAGGTTGAATCAGTAACGCGTTGATCCCGATCACATATTGATGCTCTTTATGACCCGTACAGAAGCAGGAAGCCCACCGCTGTGATGCGCTGCATGTGTCCGCTCTATGACACCAACAGACGGGCCTGGATCGAGCTGCAGCCAATGAGCGCCGCCCGCCTCAGCCACGGCGTGGTCGCCGCCGGTCAGTGCTGGCTAGGCCAGGAAAAAACACACCTGTAGCTCCTGTCATGAATCACCCTAATCCTGATGAAAGGGTTATGGTTTGTATTTAGTAGTAACAGTGTAATAACTGAGTAGTTACGTTGTGTTTCCGGTCTGTTAGAGGGTTTTCTGTTTGCGATGGGCGGAGCAGATGAACACAACACAGTTCTGGACAGTGGAGAGAAATATGACCCCGACTCCAACACCTGGAGTCCCATACCCCCGATGCTACAGGTATACCCCCCCTTTTCTCTAACGGTGCTTCTCCTGAGGTTCTCCTCACATTAGTATACAGAGTGATCCTGGCAGTAGCTTTCTTTTTCCCCTTTTCATGTATTTTACTATCCAGCTCAATATTTCCATCACTGAAATTATCATTTTCGCTTTTTGAATTTGCTGCTGTTTGAAGCAGGATAGATGATCAGTATGCCATGCTAAGTTCTGCAGCTATGTTACAGTTGTACTTCATGACCACTAGGTGTCAGCAGAGCTGCAATACCCAGATGTGACACATTGACAACGCATTCCCAGTCACGGGAAAAGAGAAGTGTTGTCATTTACATGATGTGGTGGAACACTCTAAACAATACTTATGATATGTATGAAATCAGACTTCAATATAGTGTTAATGTTTTAAAACTGCGTGCGTGCGTGCGTGCGTGCGTGCTTAATACTTCTGACACTGTGTATGTGTGGGGTTATCTTGTCACCAGGCTCGTCAGTGCTTCGGTGTGGTGGAGCTGGACGGTTTGATCTACGTTCTTGGAGGAGAGAACAAGGACACGGAGCTGATCACCGTTGAAGTGTTCGACCCTCACTTCAGTACCTGGAAGATGCAGACCAGTATGACCATGATCCGCAAGGTACCAGCACACATACAAGTATCACAATGATGGAATAGAAGAAGACGAGAACAGAATAATGTCTCAACAGAGTAGTAACCGCCATCGCCTGACTTCATTGTTAAATGTAATGTTGCAAATTAAATTCTATAAAATCAGATCTAAAGTCAGCAAATATCAGCTAAAATCAATCTGGCAAGTCGTTGTCACACTGAACTGAGGTAACGACTATACACTTATGAACAATATTGTCTGTCTTATTAACTCTGTGTACTAGAAAAACGTGGATTATGACCAAGTAGACCTTTTGAAGGTGCTGAACTTCAAATACCGAGCATATCTATTGCCTCCACATGGCTCTCAACATGGCGACAGCTGAGCTGCCGGCTAGCAGCTAACGATGCTAACCGCGCAAACAACGGCAACAGTGCTGACGGAGTTAACCGGGGGAACCAGTGGGTGGATGCTATGCTACCGCTACGATGCCATCGTATGCTTTCTTTTTTAAAGTATGTTTGAGGATGTTAGCTCACCAACATAAAGAAACGTACTTTTCTTGCCTCCTTATTTGGTTGCTGTCTCTCACACCAGACCGTTCTCTTTGACAGTGGAACACGCACACACACGCACACACACACACTTAACAATTGAAAATGGGCCGAGTGATTCATTTTCCACAAGCTCTCCCAACATGCTGCGACTTGTTCAGCCGTGTCTGTCTTCTCCGTCAGGTCGGCTGCTACGCCTCCATGAACAAGAAGATCTACGCCATCGGCGGTGGCTCCTACGGGAAGCTGTTTGACTCCGTTGAATGCTTTGACCCAAAAGTCCAGCAGTGGACGGGCCTCTGTCCTCTGAAAGAGAGACGGTAAACAGGGACCTTTGTCTTCTCCTCATGTCATGGCCTCGTTGTCTTCTCTTCTCTGTCCATTGATGATACTTTAGTCACATGTTATACGTACTTGCCGTGTGACACAGACCTTTAACCTCAGCCTGTGATACTTGGTATTTCTTTGTATTGCACAACAGGAAACGGAGCACGAGTCCCACGACTGTCTGTTTTAGTTTCAGTTTAATTTCCCTTTAATGACACCACAGTCACATGAAATCATGGCTCTCACATCAAAATGCTGCTCGGAATAATGAAGTAACTCTAAGAGAGGATGTTGAGTCACAGCGTGCACACTCGTTAGTCATACAGAGCCTGTGATCCCACGGTGTGAAGAAACATTCAGCGTTCAGTCACTGCTGTCTCCTTCAGCTCATTGTGAGCATTGCTGCAGAGCAGGATGACTTCATGGCCATGAAGTCATTGTGATAAAGTGCCTTGATTGGTCATGTTTGCTGGCCAATAGGAGACATTCTTGAGCGATCATTGTATCTAACAAGCTTCTCAATGAATGGTGTTCCCGGTCAGGTTTGGGTCGGTGGCGTGCGGTGTCGGCCAGGAGCTCTACGTGTTCGGCGGAGTTAGAAGCAAGGAGCAGGACAACCCCGAGCAAAGACAGATGCTGACCTGCAAGTCTGAGTTCTACCACGACGAGATGAGGAGGTCCGTATGGAGACGCTGCTTCTCAATGTCAGATTCAAACAGTATTGCCTCTGCTATTTTGGGGTTTTACTGTCCCACTAGGGTCAACGATGGTTCTTCACCTTAAAACAATCTCACAACAAGGAGCGTTTAGTTCAGCTCTTGACCATATCTCATCATCTTCACGAGCAGATGGACTTTCTCACTAGATCTACAAACATCCAACGTCTTTCATAATACAGAAATCAAGAAAGCTGTCGTTGACAGAACCTTGTTCTCGATACATACACGGCTCACAACACTTTCTTTCAGAAATGTACTTGCCACTTTATGTTTTCGTGATTTTCAAAAGACAACAAAGACCAAATTTGATTGTTATGTTCAATTAAAATTGTAAAAGTTTAAGCTGTAATCTTTCCAGGATCATTAGAGATGCTTGCTTTGTCTCTCCCATGTTGTCGTGAGGGCCCGGTCGGTACTGCACATGTGCAACACTCAACAGAGATGAGATGCTCCCTCCTGAGCTGCTTCCACCACCGGCTCGAGAAGAAAACAACGTGTTTCATTCTATTTGAGCTGCGAGATGAACTTGCCCATGTCTGCTGTGTTGTGATGGGTACAGGTGGATGCTGCTGGATGACCAGAACCTGTGTATCCAGACCAGCTCGTCCTTCGTTTGCGGCGCTGTGCCCATCGGAGCCAGCATCTATGTGCTGGGAGACCTGGACACAGGTCAGTAAGAGAGAAGCAACTAGAACCACCACAGATTTGGGACGAGGTCACGCCCTCTTTCTGAATGCTCACGGTTGGTGTTTGTCGCACAGGAACGAGCTTCGACTACATCCGGGAGTTCCGCCGCAGCACCGGGACGTGGCATCACACCAAGCCCATGTTACCCAGCGACCTCTCCAAAACCGCCTGCGCCGCACTGCGCATCGCCAACTGTCGACTGTTCCGCCTTCAGCTGAGCCAGGGCATGTTCCGGATCAGGGTCTGACTGCGGGCCTCCAGCCAGCGGGCCTGTGTCGGCTCCCTGCTCCACGTTTGCACACTGGTACTTTCTACCTGCCTGTCTGCGTTTTGGGATGTTATGAACACTTAAGTGTTCTAGTCGCTAGATATTAGGGTTTATACTTGACTGAGACTTGACAAGTTACATTTTTTTAATTACTTTTTTTATAGACTTTTTTTTCCATTTTAACTTTGGATTTGACTGTTTTTAGCTTTTTATTTCAATAACGTACCTCATTGGTTCTGTTTACTGGGGCTCTGGTTGCTTGCTGTAAACAACTCTTAATATGAACTTTATCATTACATGAGGCATTGACATTTTAAAAGCACTGCTGTGTTGCCATTAGTATTTTAGGATATAGTATGTTGTTTGGCGGTGGATTGTTCATCGTTATGGTCCAATTGGAGATGACACCATCATTTGCCCTGATATATATAGATATATAGATATAGATATAGATAGATAGATAGATAGATGGATGGATGTCTATCTATGGATGGATGGATATACAGTTGTGTGAAAAAGTGTTTGCCCCCTTCCTGATTTCTTATTT